ATAATTGTAGTAAGAATTTATCATGAATCATTTAAAATAATTTGCAATTCTTTTGCATATTAAAGTATTAGCATTTTTTTAAAAGACAAAATTTTTCTTGTTTTAGATAATTCTACAATTCATAAGACATATATATTATTAAATTAAAATAAAAAATTTTAATTAATAATATATAAAATAGTGATCTTCTTTTTGCTTATTATGTAGAGTTTTAGTGTTGTTGACATAAAGCCTAAGGCACTAAAACCACTAAACTTTTATTAAAATCTTAAATGAACTTACTTTAGATTTTTTCATTTGATAAAATTAAATTTGAAAATGATTTAAATATATATAAGACATATTTATGTAGCTGCTTGAATTCTTTTTTCAAAATAAAAAAAAATACATAACTTGATATTTGATAAAAGAATTATTTCTACATACAGTTTAATAATTTTTATATTTTTATTAATAGGAATAGCTTTTAAATTTTTTTATGATAATCGACAATTAAGAAAAATAATAAAATTCTTTAAATTGTTAAATTACTTAAAAATAATATGTTTATTATTTATGAATGCTAAAATTCTGAAATAATAATTTAATGATTTTTTCATTTTTAATTTGTTACTAAGTTGGCTAAAATATTATGATTTGATTTTGTTATTATAAAAGAATATTAATAATTGAAACATCGTTTGATTGTGTGTTATGTTTGATAAATAAAAATTTAATATATGTATCTTAGATATTTAATTTTAAAGAGCTAGATAATAAAAGAAAAATTATAAATTATAACAAAATGATTTCTTTGAAATTTTAATTGATACTTTTATGGTTATTTATCGAGACAAAATGTGTTGACTTATGTAGAGAAAAATAAAGTTATTAAAGTTGCATTGAAAGTGATGATGAAAAGTGTAAATGGGATAGTATTAGAAGGCTTTGTGAAATAACTTATGATTACTAAATTGGGTGTAGTTTGAGTTTGAATAGGAGAGGTTGTGTTAAATAAATAGGAAATATGTTAGGAGAACTAGCTAGATGTATTAAGTCTTCTATAAATAAGGCCGTTTTAAAACAGTATGTGAAGTAATTCCGAATTTTCAAACGGAGTAATGTTAAAATAATTTATCTAAATTTGGATGTTTATCAATTTAGAATCGAGAACAGGTTTGCTATTGGAAAGATGGAAATTGTTATTTATTATAGCAAAACTAATGGGATTAAATTTAAAAAGACTTTGGTTTATAATAATATAGTGCTTCAGCTTGTTATCTAATAGAACATTATTTAATAATTCACAGTACTATTTTATGGGACTTGATATAATATACTCCAAATTTATTCACAGAGGCTGACAATTAATTCAAAAAAGAGATGGGTTTAGATATTGATAATAATATAAATTACGACGATCCTAATTCAGTTTTTTTACAGAATAATTATAGACATTTGAATGGAACTTTTGTGTGGTTTACATATAGAGAATCAAAAACAATAACACGTACAAATTGTAAGATATAGATACAAATAAAAATAGTGTAGATATCTGACAGATAAAGAGAGGGATGTATAGCATTAGAGATTGAAAATGACAGCGATTATTTAAATCTTATAAGAGTGACAGATGAGAAGAGAGGGATCAATCATATATATTGTAAATATTTAAATAGAAATCCTTCTATAACAGATGAATATGTGTTTTCAGATGGAGTTTGTAAGAAATTCATAAAGTCTGATTTGAATAAGGAAGAAAAGTTAATAGAATTTGATTTGAGCTGCAAATAATTAGATTAGTATTAATGCATATATTTTGATTCACAATTTAAAAGATGTAAAATAATGGGAAATGAATATGAGTATCCATGTATAAAATTGGAGTAAGATTATGTAGCTGATTGTGAAAATAGTTATTGTACTGTTAAATAATGCTAATAATTATAGGAACATTACATAGATACAGATACAAATAGATGTAGTAATAATTGTTCTGGATTCTTTTTAAATAGTTAAAATACTTGTGAGGCAGTGAAAGGATGTATATACTTAGGAACAACTTACATAGATTTAGTAAAGACTTGTTCACCTAAGTATGGATGTGATTAAATTGGCATTGAAAGAATGTATTGTAAATACTTAAATGATCGATGTGGATGGAATGAAGAATTGTAAAGATGTTATAGAATAAATGATCAATAAATAAAACTTATGAAATGCAATTAAGCTTTTAATGCAAAATCTTGTATATAAATAACTTTAAGTGATTAACTTTGTTTCTGGGATGGTCTTGAATGTAAGAATGTTTTAGAATAACCTATCTTAATAGCTTAAAGATCTTTAATAGATTCTGATAATCCTGATTATTGGTATTTTTACTTTAGAAAAATAAGTAACATAAATTTTTGTAAATATCATTTAACTATTCCCACTGAATATAATCTAAGTGAAGGAAAATGCTATTTTCTGACATCTTAAGCAAATGATCTAACTCTTATTAATAGATATTCATGTATTTACACTTAACCAGGTTTTAAAAAATGGGATTAATAACAATAAGTATGTTTAGCCCTCTTAGAAAAAGATGTTGCAGAATTAAATTGTAATGAGCAAGTATTAGCTAATGAGAAAATTTGTTAAAAATCTAAAGTATCAAAATCAAATCTGGTTTGTACATTTGATAAAGATAGCAACTCTTGTCAAGAATTAGATATAGTGGATATCGAGTCTTTTGGATGTTAAGGATATGGCTTTTCCAAAGAAGTATGTGTGTCCAAATAGAAATCTGGAATATATTGTTAATTTTTAGGCGGATAATGTAAATCTATTGATGAGTCTTATATTAATTCTATTCTTTGCTCATCTCTTTAAAATGTAAATTCATAAGTGTGTAAATTATACTCATCTGAATCAACAGTATGCTTATATGATTTATCAATCAATTCCTGTTACACTCCTAGTGCTTTTACATAAATTACTTATGATCCTTTAATCAATAGATTCGGTTGCTAAAAAGTTTAGGATGCTTTCACATATTTTGATTTGGATTCAAAGTAATGCATTTAATTTAATGAAAATGATACTATTTAATTATCAAACCTAGACTGCAATTCTAATTTCGTTAATCAAAAAACTTGTTTGGCCATCATCAAAAAAGGGTAGCATTGCTATTGGGATACTAATTAAAATTAATGTTAGAACTATTCTCAGTATTCTCTAAATTGTTCTGATTATGCTAATTTTACAAGTAGAATTTGTTAAGCACTTGTATCTGATGTATCAAAACAATTTACTAAAGATAATTATTGTACTTACATAGATAATTAATGTTAATCCAATCCTACTATCTTAATTGATTGTGGAGAATCTGAACAAATGAACATACATCGATGTAATGGTCTAACCGGTTTGAATTAACAAGGAGAGTATATTTAAATGTGTGCATTTATTAATCATAAATGTACTACTTTAATTGAAGATTCTATGGATGCCTATCTACTCTTAAATATTATACAATGTTCATAAGCTAATTTAAGAGCTTGTACCAGAGTTTAGACAAATGGAAACTATTGTTAACTTATAAATAATGTTTCAAGCAATAATTTCATCATCGATAAGAAATGTATATAGATTGATAATATGACTCAATCTTGCCAAACTATTAATACAAATTTTTCAAAAAATGAAATAAATCCCAATCATTGTTCTAGAGCTAATGATAGTTGTCTTTATGATGAATCTACTGGATGCTCCAAACCAACTAATGCTGATTTAGAATGTGATACTATTGGATTATCTTATTTAGGATGTATTCAAAATACTTAAAATCATAGGTGTGCATTTTATAATTAGAAATGTCAATATTTAGCATCTTATTAAATAATATCTAATTGCAAATATCTAAATTAATTTGCATGTTCTTATTATTAATTTTTAAAATGTTATTGGAATGGTAATGTTTGTACTACTTCTTAAAATTATACTACATAATATGGAAGTGATTATACTTGCTCTTTGATCTCAAGTAACTAATTTTTTGTTTCAAATGGATTAACATGCTTAGAAGAAGAATAAATATCTAATTTTGAACTATATACTTGTGATAGTCCATTAAATTAATTTGCATGTGGATCTATTCAAAATTAATATTGTCAATTTATTGAAAATTAATGTCAATTTTATGCTTCTACTTTATGTGAAGATTCAGTGACATAATGTGGTTTAAACAATTCTTCGGACTTAAAATGTGTTTTGAAAAATGGATAATGTTTTCATCATCCTTATACAAACTATTATTGCGATTTTTTTGAATAAACAAATTATGAATTTTGTCGTTAATATCATGATTGTATTTATGTCAATTAAAAATGTTAACCAATATATTAAACTTAAAATTATTGGTATTGTTATTCTTATCCTTTACATAAATGCATTCTTTAAAATAAATAATTTGCATGTACATGGGAAGATGATGAATGTGTAGACTTTTATCAAGAAACATGTCCATCACTCGAGGGATTTCATTCATATAATGCTTGTACTAAATTTGATAATTGTATATATGGATATACAAAAAGTGGATTAGGTTTTTGTTATTAAGATAAAGATTTTGACTCTTTAACATGCGAATAACTTAGTGAAAGTTTATGTTTAGAAGATTTACATCATTTAAATTCTTCCCTTTAATGTTATTGGGATGAATCTTGTAAAAATATTTAAAATACATCAATAACGGATTGCCAATCTCTTTTAAACTTTTAATCAAGTTATGGTGCATGTATATAAATGAATTAAGAAGAATGTAAATATTCATTCACAGATAAAAAATGTAAACTTATTAAAGAATATGATGATTCAACAGTTTGCTNAATGGAAACTATTGTTAACTTATAAATAATGTTTCAAGCAATAATTTCATCATCGATAAGAAATGTATATAGATTGATAATATGACTCAATCTTGCCAAACTATTAATACAAATTTTTCAAAAAATGAAATAAATCCCAATCATTGTTCTAGAGCTAATGATAGTTGTCTTTATGATGAATCTACTGGATGCTCCAAACCAACTAATGCTGATTTAGAATGTGATACTATTGGATTATCTTATTTAGGATGTATTCAAAATACTTAAAATCATAGGTGTGCATTTTATAATTAGAAATGTCAATATTTAGCATCTTATTAAATAATATCTAATTGCAAATATCTAAATTAATTTGCATGTTCTTATTATTAATTTTTAAAATGTTATTGGAATGGTAATGTTTGTACTACTTCTTAAAATTATACTACATAATATGGAAGTGATTATACTTGCTCTTTGATCTCAAGTAACTAATTTTTTGTTTCAAATGGATTAACATGCTTAGAAGAAGAATAAATATCTAATTTTGAACTATATACTTGTGATAGTCCATTAAATTAATTTGCATGTGGATCTATTCAAAATTAATATTGTCAATTTATTGAAAATTAATGTCAATTTTATGCTTCTACTTTATGTGAAGATTCAGTGACATAATGTGGTTTAAACAATTCTTCGGACTTAAAATGTGTTTTGAAAAATGGATAATGTTTTCATCATCCTTATACAAACTATTATTGCGATTTTTTTGAATAAACAAATTATGAATTTTGTCGTTAATATCATGATTGTATTTATGTCAATTAAAAATGTTAACCAATATATTAAACTTAAAATTATTGGTATTGTTATTCTTATCCTTTACATAAATGCATTCTTTAAAATAAATAATTTGCATGTACATGGGAAGATGATGAATGTGTAGACTTTTATCAAGAAACATGTCCATCACTCGAGGGATTTCATTCATATAATGCTTGTACTAAATTTGATAATTGTATATATGGATATACAAAAAGTGGATTAGGTTTTTGTTATTAAGATAAAGATTTTGACTCTTTAACATGCGAATAACTTAGTGAAAGTTTATGTTTAGAAGATTTACATCATTTAAATTCTTCCCTTTAATGTTATTGGGATGAATCTTGTAAAAATATTTAAAATACATCAATAACGGATTGCCAATCTCTTTTAAACTTTTAATCAAGTTATGGTGCATGTATATAAATGAATTAAGAAGAATGTAAATATTCATTCACAGATAAAAAATGTAAACTTATTAAAGAATATGATGATTCAACAGTTTGCTAAGGAACAACTTTAAAGTAATGTTCTCAGATAAGAAATACTTGTTATTTTAATGGATCAAATTGTTAAATAAAGGGATTAGTAGAATAATTAAATAAATTTGGATGTCTTAATTAAGTTGGTTAATGGAAATTTGAATATTTTAAATGCCATAAAATAATTAATGAGATTCAATAAAGCTGCATAAATTTATCAAAAGAAGCCTGCCTAAGTGATTTAACAAAAGAATTGAGTTGTAAATGGAGCGATAGCAAATGCTTGAATACACTTAAAAATGAAAATAAAAGAATGATTTCATGTAAGAATTTGAATCAAAGAGCTTGTGAGAATGTCCATCTATCAAATATCAGATGTATTTGGAATAAAGAAAAGAAGAGTTGTGATGTATATGAAATGATTGATACAGATTGTACTCTTGAAAATATAGAAATAACAACATCAATCAGTGTATGTTCGAGTTCAATAACAAAAAGTTGTGTGAGACATTATGACAAAAATAAATGCACAGAAATTAATATGAAAGTGGCAAGCTGTAATGTTTTTGGATTGAATATGAAAGGGTGTTTATAATAAACAACTGTACCATGTTAATGGATTTAAATTGGAGATGGAGGGTATTGTGATAATGCAAATCTTTACATTGTAAAATGTATAGAGTTGTTAAATTAATCAGCATGTGAAACAATTCAAACTCCTGGTTAAACTTGCAAGTGGGAACAATCAATTTAAGAATGTGCTGATGAAGTTGTTACATCTTGTGAATCTGCCACTATACTTCATTCACATAATGCTTGTAAGGCTATTACTGTCGAACCTTGCTATTACGATCCATTTTAAATGTCATGCAATAAAGTCTTTTTACAACCTAATACTTGTTCTAATTATTATAATTCTTTGGCTTGTGAAATATCTACAGAAAATTGCATATGGCTAAATAACAGTTGTAGTTACTGCAACTATTATACTTGCTTCTAATATAAAACTGAAAGTAAATGTCTCAATAGCAATATAATTAATTGTCAATGGTTGGATAATAAATGTGTAGACTTTAAACCACTTTCAGTTTAAGTTGATTGCACATAGCTCCCAATTAATATTAATAACAATGCTTGTCGTCTTAACTCTATTGATCCATGTATATTTGATTCTTAACTATTGTAATGTGTATCTAACCAAGATAGATCACAAGCCAATAGTTGGAAAACAATGTCAGAATTATTAGAACATCAAGATTCAAATCTTCAATCATCTCTTTTACAAGGTACCTGTGAAAATCTTCATAATGAAATAAATTGTAAAAAATCTCGAATTCCAAATAAATCATGCATTTGGAAAGGATCATGTAAAGAAGTGATTGATTTCAGTATTTTATTTTGTACTGATTAATTAAATATTTGGGGATGTTTGAATATTACTAATGAGGACTAATAATGTATATGGAGAGATTCTATTTGTTAAGATTGGGACTAATCTTTCAACGTAATGGAAAATGTTAATAAAAATGTTTGTATTCACAATAGTATTAATTGTGTATACGAATACAATTCTTGTGTAGAAAAATCAATTGATGAAATATAATGTTAACAAGATGGAGTTAGTAAGATAACATGTTTATCAATTCCCAATAAATAATGTTAATGGATAAATTCTTGTACAGATTTCACTTTATCGAATTAACAAAAATGTTCTGATTTTTAAAATGTATCAATTTATGTTTGTCAAATGTTACCTAATTTGTCATGTGGTTATGATTTCGATAAAAAAAGTTGTGAGAATATTTCAAACGAAACACTTTTTTCAGGTATATCTAGATTGGCTTGTATTTCCAATAAGAATCTTCCAACATATTGGAATGGACAGAAATGTTAAGAATTACTTGATTATATTGAATGCGATACACCACTAGTAGTTAATGAATTAGTATGCATTTTGAAGGTTAGAAATACAGCATGTATGTATGATTAAATAAAAAATAAATGTACAAGCAGATTCAATATTTGGTCATTGAGATGCAATAGTAAAGGTTTGAATTTGTTAGGTTGTTCTAAAATTGAACAAGAACCTTGTATTTTTAAGGATAATAGATGTCAGGCCTTTACTGAGGTTTCATAAATTTGTATGTTTATTAGTTTAGTAAATTCTAAAGCATGCGCATCAGTGTTAAATTAAAACTGTTCTTATGATTCAATAAATTTAAAATGTTAAACTCCTTTAATAAATGAGAATTATTGTAATATTGATGGGATTAATAAAAATTTTTGTCATACTAATTCTCTTTGTTTATGGAATCAGGATAATTTGAATTGCAAGTGTAAATCTGATTAGGAGGTAGAAAGATGTTAATTAATAAATATATCAGAATGCAAATAAAATAATCGTTGCTATTTTGATATTGATATTTAAAAGTGTGTTAAAAAATAATGCCATCATCTTAAGGAAGACGAATGTAATTCAATTATAGATTATAAAACTTGTTATTTGAGTTTAAAGAATGGTTGTTAACCAGCTATTAAATGTGAAGATATTATTGATCCTAAAAACTCTTGTTAGACAATTTATATAAATTCTTAGCCATGTCTGTAAGCTGGATAATTTTGTGTTACTGTAAACAATTATAGTTTATCATGTCCATATTCAGATTGCTCAAATTCAAATTGTATATATTATTAAGGAATCTGCAAACAAAAGATATGTGATGACTATCCTGCTTCAGAATGCTAATTAAATGAGGGTTGTTATTTAGATTAAGAGAATAATTGTCAACAATTACTTAGGTGTAGTCAAATCACCTCAGAAATCTATGGAGAATTAGTTACCAACATTTGTAATTTATCAGCAGTTGACGGTCTTAAATGCAATTGGTAGAAGTATGCTTTATTAGATGATATAGAGATATGTACTAATCAATATTGCGAGTATTTTTTCATTATTTATTATTTTAGGATGTACGGCTCATCTAATACACTTTGTTAAGGTAATGAAATTAATGGATATTCATGTGTTCTATTTAATGACTTAATTTGCAAATAATGTGAATCTATTATAGAATCATGTTTATGTAATTCATAAACCAATACTTGTCTCTATCAAAATGGAAAATGTAATTCTATTCTTTGTTCCTCTTTTTTGACAAAACAAGCCTGTTTATAAGCTTAAGATCGTTGTTATTGGAGTATTAACTCTTAAGAAAATATTGAAATATGTGTAAAGTAATGTGAGAAAATCATTGATTAAAATGAATGTAATAGTAGATTTAATGAATGCTATTTTGAGAACTAAAATGGATTATGTGTTAAAGGATAAAAATAAATTCCAAATTTAAGCTCAGACATTATTATAGAAGAATTTTATGCAGTTTTCATCTCATAATACATATATCTGATTTTCATTATTTTTATTTGAAAAATAATTAAAATCATTAATTTACTTGTTTTATTGAAAGCAATTAAACAATCATAATATTTTTTTTATATTATACAAAATTTATATTGGATAGAACAATAGTCCTTAAATTATTTAATAATTACTTAATTAAGTTCCAATCGGAAAAGATTATTTTGATTTATAAATTATAATTTAATAATTTCCTATTTTTTTTCTCATGAAACCAATTTTCTGAGTTTAAAAATTTAACAATGTATAAAATGAGTAATTAAATACATTTTTGCAAAATATTACAAACCACTAAAATTTTAATAATAAGATTCTCGTTTAGTAGTGAGATAAGTTTAATACGATACATATATGTCATTCAATTTTGCAAGTTAGAGTATATATATACTTTAATTAATTTAAAATTAAGAGTACTTTAAATTCATTTAACAATAAATCAGATGAAAAGAAATAATAATTATTATTTAAAAATAAATATCATCCCCAACAATATCTGTTTACGATACTTGGTCCATATTCATCATATAAGGATCTTTCAATCCACATACTTTAGAATGAACTTATTCCTAAAAGTAATTTTGCACCATCTAGTACAGAAAATATTTTATCTGATGAATCATCCATTTTGGGCTTTATTGATAAAGGGGTTAGTTTAGTTAATTCATTTATCAATCTTTAATTAAATCCTAATAATTAAGTGGTTCCTCCAACTAGTATTATATTTTGAAATAAGTATTTTCTTAAATCTAAATCTGATTTTTTGATTGATTAAATAATTAATTCATGAATACCTGGTTGATTCAAGCCAATAAGTAGAGGTTAGAATAATAATTCTGGACATCTAATTCTTTAATCTCTTATTTAAATGCAATTTCCATCTGGTAGTTCATGCGGTAAACAATGATTAAATTTTTCAATCTCTACTTCATAATTTTCTGATACATAACAAAATTATTCTTTTATTTGATTAGCAATATTTTATTCCGAATATGAATTAAAGTATACACCTAATTCTGTCATGATTCTAATGAAATATTCCGTTAAAGCACTTCCTGATACATTATTTTTGCATATTGTATGGGGGAGAGAGAAACCATCAAAAATTGGAGTTGATTAAGTAATTCCATATCCTGAATCAACTACAACTCCTGTAAATTTTCCTCTATTGTATAATTAAAGCGTAGCTCCGCTTATTAAATAGAATGATGATACATCATATGATTCAAAAAATAATTGAATTGCTTTTTCTTTAAATTTTTTAGGTTATGCTTAAGCTACTGATAATATCACAGGATATTAATCTTGGTTAGACCCCACAACATTTATTAAAATTTGATCCCAAATTTTTTCCATTACTTAAATTAATAAATCTAATACTATCCATGTCAACTACAAATCCATTTTCAAATGGATATTTTAAAGAAAAGGTTTCTTATATAAATGCTGTGCATTCATAACTTCCTTTTTTTGGTTCTTTAACCATAGATCGAAGCTACTATCTTGAAAAATCCTTATTTGCAATTTAAGCTTTGCATTCATATGAACCATTGTCTATTATAACTGCATTTTCATTACTCATTAATTTTTAAATTGATATTATTGTGCATTAATAATAAGCTTTCCTTATTCTATTATAACATATTTCTATTATATTATTTTTTATATTTAAAATAATTTTCAAATTCTAAAACTATCTAAGACAAGAAAATAAATTTGGTATTATAAAATTAATAATATGAAAAATCACGCTAATAACATTTCTTCTTCTTCAACTTTAATTTAGCTTTTTTTCCACCAATAGAAAATAACTATGCCAATCATCAATATACCTAAAGTGATTAAAATTATAATCCATATTGGAAAACTCTATTTATCCTCATCATCATTAGAAGGATTAGGAGGGATTTGATTATCTTCTTAAATAGTTATATTTAAATTAATATTAATTTTGGAGAAAGAATTACTTAAAGTTAAATTAATTCTATCATTAACTGAATAAGCGGAAGTACAAATTTATGACTATCTCTTCAATCTATAATGAGTTAATCTATCATAGTTATCTGTCGATGCCAATAAATGGAGTTATTCATTTTACCTGTATACAAATGACTAAACTTAATGGAATTCACCAGGTATTTTACTTTAAGGGGTAATTAAATGGGCAATAGCTAAATTTGGGTTTTCTTTGCTACTTACAGTTTAAAGATCAAATAATAATAATTCAAAATGTGTTTATGCCCAATAAACCAAAGATAAAATATTTTCATTTGAATATATTATGGGATAAAGATTAAAAATTGTCCATTCTCCATATTATTAAAAAATACCATTCAATTCAAAAGACTTCAGATCACATAATTTCTTTTTAGTACAGTCAAAATCAAATTTAAATGCAAATGTAGGTATGTTATTGTAAACAATTATTATATCATTTTTTCTTAAGTTTAATCCCACACATATGGAATTGATATTTACATATAAGTTATTCAATTTTAGAATATTTATAACATTTTAAGCAAAAATCTAATTTTCTTTAGAGGTTTCAGAAATTTCTAGATTATTAAAATAAGTATTTCCTCTAATATCAACAGAGATAGCTGAGTATACATTATTGTGTAAATGATAAAATTCTAAATAAAATGGTTATGTAAAAAGCGTAAATTTATAGAATTGTTCGAATGCTGATAATTTTATAGGATCACCCTTTGTATCATATACTTGTATATCTGGAAATGAATAAATGAAGAAATTGTTATCATGAAGATAAACTTTATTAATTCTAGTTGTTAATGTCAGTTCATCATCTAATAATTTGCAATCAGAATCTATGCATGCTATGATTTTTAGATAATTTAAATCCCCTTTTTAAACTTCAACATAAATAAGTTGATTTATAATAATTAATAATTATTTAATCTTGTATGTTTCATCCAGGTTAAATTCTTTTTTAGTCAAATCAGATTTTTAAACTAAGATGATTTTATTCTCCATTAATTAAACTAATTGATCAGAATTTAATTCCTATATAAAAGGGCTAAACTCTAAAGTTTCAATTTCTTTTGATAATGTTTTTATATACTGTAGCTTTTCTGATTGGTTCTAGATTATGTCAAATACTTAACCACTATACCAAGATTATTCCAAATTTATGCAATGATTTTAAGTGCCATCTGCTTTATATTTTAAATCGAAAAAATTTTTAGTCTGAAATATTGAAACACCTCTATTAACAACTAGAGCTGGGATTATTTAGGTGATTACCCTTTAAAAATCATTTTTGATTTAAACAGTTAAACTAATTTCTTTGGAGTATTGAATCTATTAATAACCCTCCTTTAATGTAGATTAAACAAACTAATCCCCTGTTATGTAATAATTCTTTTAAACTAGTTTATTTTCTATTGAATCAGTGATGAAGCAATATTGGTTAGTAATTGAGAATTGAGCTGTAGATGTGTAATAAAGGTTAATAAATTTAGAATTATAGCTTGTATCATCAATTTTATACCCTTATAAGTTATATTTTTCATTATTATTAACAACTATAAAAAATAAGCTTTATTAAAGATTTACTTCTATTTATGTTAGTTTTAAAGAAGAATTATTATTAAGTTTAATATGTTTCTCGAAGTAGATATTATTTAAATTTTAAATATTATATACGATTGCAAGATATTTTTCTTCATTTTTTGTTTTGATTAATTTAGCGAATCGATTTCTAAAAATTACTAAATTTTTTTTCTCATAAATATCACTGATCTCTGTAAACCAAATCATACTAAATTTTCCTTAGTTCAAAGAATAGATCTTCAATTATCCTAGTAAATCGATAAAAAGAAGATTCTGTTATCCTGGAGATGCATAAATATCTCCATCAATATTTTTATTCTGAATTAAAATAGCCTTATTGTTAACAGATACTGTATAGATTTAAATTGATTATTAACATTAAACAAATAAGTAATTACCATCAGTTGCAATTTTCTAAGCATTAGAATCTAAATTAATAGTTGTTAATAGATCAAATTTATTTTAGTTATAAAAAACACAATAAATTGTGATAGTTGAATCTTTTAAGATTGCTAAGAATATAGAATCATAATTAAACCACCAAAGTTATTTATCAGAATCTTACAATTAATCAAATTACCTCTTAGTAAAAATAGGTTGGCATTTTAATTTCAACTATGATAATAATTCTTCGCAAGTATATCCACTTATTTAGCTATTGCTGTGCTGTTAAATAATCTATATATATGGATTATTTAAATTTGATAAAGATTTTCTGTAAATAACATTCTCTATCTCACCTACATTTAAGATTTCAATCCCTTAATATTATTCAACTTTTAAATTTAAAATATTCTGCTCATTAAATTCATATTGTAAGTTTGATCCTTCAAAAATAGGCTTGAATTTAACCTCCAAATTATCTTAAAATATTCCAGAAGCGATTAAAGCTTTCGGTGCTTAAGATGAGTATATTTCTGTTGATTCAAAATTAACAACCATATAATAAATTTCAATAACGCAATCGGCTGATTAAAGGATTTTAATCATTTGGTAATCTTTTTCAATTGGCAGAGAGTCTGCTGAAAATTAAATTGAATATTCACTATTTATTGCATATTTGTAAAAGTATTCATCATCAATAATCAAAAACCCATCCTAACTTGGAAATGAATTGATCAAATATTTGGAATTGAAGAAAGTTGTTGAGTAAGATTTATATAATTATTATGAATAAAGCGATAAAATCTTGTCTTAAACTAATAAAATTGAGCTTTTTTATAAAAATACCTTATCAAAAGGTTTAGAATCGACATTTACAATGAATTCTTAATTAGTGATTGCTTTATAATAAAGGTATTATTTTGAAAGGATAACATAAGTATCTAAATAGATATCAAAATCATAAGAATAAACTGTTGATATCTTTGTATCAATAGTTTTAATCAATTACCATTAATTATTAAAATACTATAAAACAATTAATTCTCCAGAGGCATTCAATATGCTAATCTATCCATTTGTATGAGTTTAAAAATCTCTTATTTCAAGTAAAAAATATTTTTAGTTTAATAGTATTCTTAAAGCAGCAGAATCTAAAATATCCAAGAATTCAAGTGTTTATTCTTTTTCTTAATATAATTCCAATTTATCGACATTTCCTCTTAATAAATATTTATCAATCATATCTAATTTTCTAAAGGCATCTTTTGGCTTTTAAATAGTCAAATAATTATATGTGGATTAATTAATTTTTTGGATACTAAAATAATCTCCTTCATCATCAGAACATTCTGTAATTATTATTGTATTCATCAAAACAATATCAAAACATTTTGAATTTCTTTTCCCTGTGCTTGGATATACTGCAGCTAAATTTGGAAAAGTAGAGTAATTTATTAAGTCATATTCAGAATAATATATACCTTCATAATAGCGCAAAATGGCCATTTAATGTTGTGGTTCACAACTTGTTGTTGATTTGAACATTTTTATTGAAATTGTTGAACCATTAACTTTATGATTTGAAACCTTTTCTATTTCTTATAACAGATTTGCTATTGTGAATTATTTTACAACAGGTTTAAATGTGATTTTACTATAATCGCTTGAAATAAATAATTAGGATAAAGGGATTTTAATCGTTTCATTTTAAGTCGACGTTATGAAAAGCTTATTCTCCACTAAATTGGAGCATTAATATGTAAGTATAATTAGACAATAAAGGATTAGATGAATACTCATTATTTTATTATTTGAAATTGAAAATATCTTATAAACATTTATTTTATATTCTGATTACATACTGAATAATTTATTCATTTTATATATAACAACCTCACTTTAAAATATATTTAATCTTATAGATTTATTTTAATTTTCCTATAGATTGCTTTAATAAAATATAGAAATTCATATTTTATCATTTAAACAGGTTTTTCAATTTTTAGTATTTATTGAAAGAATCCTAGAATCCAAAAAGGAGGGAAAATTACATTTTGATAAAATTTGATAATATAATTTTATTTTCTTATATCAAATGATTAAAGTTTATTGAAGTAACTTAATTTATTAGAAATTATTTTCAAATAATATTCATTTGACTAAAAAAGAAGAAAAAAAAAAATCTTCTTAATGAAAAATAAAAACTATTAAATTTATTATTAAAATTTTTTACAAAATATCTTCTCAATAAATTTTAACTTATATATTTCGGATTTATGATAACTCATGTTATGGATGCAATGAAGGAACAATAATGCTATTGAAGTATAAATAAATAGTTAACATTAAAATTACATAGAAACATAGAATTGAATAAATGAAGACAAGAAGAATTTTTAATATTTTCACAACACCAAGTGTTGTGTTAATTTAAGAATTTCGAAAAAACTCAATATTATATATGCATATTTTATTTTTAGAAATGCTATTATGATACAAGGTTTATTTAATAAATGATAATATTTTATCATAATGTATCTGAATATTTTTGTTTTTATGCATTAATTAATATAATATTAATTTTATAATTTAATATCATACATTTCTATATCCACATCTTTTAGTTGAATTATAGTATATTTAAGGTTTTTTAAATGGATCGCTTTTCAAATTAAAATAATTTAAATAATTCTCTTCAACCTTTTACTTTGATATCCATTTTTTATCCACATCCCCTATAAAAAATAAATATTCATAATGGCACTATTCAATTTCATTGTAACAATAATAATTGTGAAACGTAATTTAAACAGGAAATTTTTAGCCATTATAATTACAAACTTCCATTTAATTCACAGACTTATTGAAAGTGTTTAATGTAAAGAAATTACTTAAATATTATAAATTAACATTGTCTTCAGAAAAATATAGGGGTATGGGTAAATAGCCTGTATCCATTGCATAATGGGTCAGCATATCAGAATTAATTCCAATCATATTTAAATAGAGTTCATTCATAAATCGTTATTAGGTAATTACTTAATCTTCACTCACTTTAGAAATATAACCAATATATGGTTTATCAAGTGTATTCTAAAAATTAAAGAAATCGCTCTCATTGATTATTTAATATTGTGATTAATCTAATTTCTTGTAATTTAATTTCTCGAAAGATTTTTTCAATCCTTCACCTCCTCTACTTAAAAATTAAACAACATTTTCAACTGGAGTAAAGCATCTCTAAATTGGATCAAATGTAATAAAAACATTATTACCTTTCCTGTCAATTTTATTTATCTTATAATTATAACAATAAAAATCAATATTGAGTTCTCCGAGTTAATTTTGATTATTCGCATTACGAGGGATTTATACATTTGATTTTAATCTAAAAATATTATCTATGGTTATTGATTTTGGTAAGCTAACTTCTATAAAATCCACCTATTTTAATTTATTGGATCCATATTTTTAAATAAATTTCTCTTGAAAATTGTCCTCTTTTGTAAATTGATTTTTTTGCCTTTGTCTGTAGATACTTTTTTTTTTCATATTCTAGTAATCTTGTTCAATTGATATTTTTGCCTAAGTAATCATTTTACAAATTTTATATAGATAATTAATGTAAAACTTTTTTAATAATAAGGCAAAACTTTTTTAATAATAATTATAATGCAATTATAAAAAATTTATCATTTTGGAATTCAGGTGGATTCACCAAAAGCTTAATGAAAACAAGAATTTAAATTTGATAAATGGAAAACTTTTAAATGAAAAAAAATTATTTTAATGTTAAGCCTTCAAATTCAAATTCTAATATTCTCCAATCTTTTATCAAGTAATATTTTCTACACTTTTTAGAATTTTAAGTTTTTTATGGTATTTAAAATTATTTTCAAGTATTAAAATATCAACTAAACTTAATAAGTTTATTGTCGATATATTAATTTAGATTTTCTTGAAATTATTTATTAAAATTTCATTACAATTTATAAATTTTTGGTTTTCTACTCATTGCTCAAATTTAATTTTAACAAAAAATAATCTTATTTTTACAGATTTTCCTTTATTCATTGATTTTCTTTTATTTTTTAGAAAAATACCTCAAGAAAAAAGAGAAAAACAAAAAGGTAATATAGAAAAATCAAAATTCAGGTATCAAAAAATATATTTTTTTGTCTTTTAATTTGAAATGTTTTAAATCAACCTTGCTGAAAGAGAGCAATTGAAAAAAACCTCGATTAAGCTCTGTATACATTAAAATTTATTAAAATTTGGATAAATAAGTTATCAGATTGATATTTTGAAATATTTAATCGATAATTAATTGGGTTTGGGGTTTGCCCTCTCGTTTTGTCTAAGAATCTTGGTGTTGAATTTGGTATTTTAATTGTAAGAATAAATTTAAATTTTTATAGGACAAAAAAATTTTCTTATCTAATAACTACATATAATCCTGAGAGATCCTTACAATTTATGGAGATCTTTAGTTGTGGATAAATTGTTAAAATAAATAAAACCAATAAAATTATAATGGTAAATTGAAGATACTTGATAACTTTTTCTATATTCATTACTTCCTTTAATGTTCTTTAAATTCTTTAATTTTTACACTTCCTTCTGACTTTTTAGGATTCAACCCGCTATTAAATACTTTATCAAACTTAAGATTAATATGGACCCAAAGTTTTTTGAGTTTGCTAAATATTTATCTTGTGAGTTTCAGTAACAGTGAAATATTTGGAGAATTTAAATCTTAGCCACTTTAAAAAAGCTCCAAAGAACTCTTTATCTTTTCCTTTGTGACTCTTAGAATTTTTCATAATAATGTCAAATCAAAATAGGGTTTTTTTTTAGTCTTTTGAACTTCTTTAATTGAAATTGTGTATAGGGTGTTTGTAATAATAACAATAAAAATAATAATAGTGGTGAATGAGAATTTTGATTGATAGATACACACTGTGCCAACAATCCATCTTAGGCATATGAAAGGCCCTTTTTCTCTTTGTTTTAAAGAACTTTTATACAATGATAATTTTTATAAATCATATAAATATGTAGATGTAAAAAAAAATTTTCTTTAAATCTTTTAATTTTGATATAAAACCAATAAAAATCATTAATTTAAATAATGAATCAGAAGAATAGATAACTCTTTGAGCTTCTTTCTCATCAAGGATTCAAATCTTTAAACTTATTTGTGAATTGCTACAGGTTACAATTACAAGACTGCTTGATTTAGAAATATATTTCTAGAATGTCAGCAATCATAGAAATCTCCTCTTCCATAATCACCCTCCTGTTAAATTCTCAGTAAATTAATCCACTTTATTCAAACAGTTATAAAAGGATAATCCAAGATNAGAGAGCAATTGAAAAAAACCTCGATTAAGCTCTGTATACATTAAAATTTATTAAAATTTGGATAAATAAGTTATCAGATTGATATTTTGAAATATTTAATCGATAATTAATTGGGTTTGGGGTTTGCCCTCTCGTTTTGTCTAAGAATCTTGGTGTTGAATTTGGTATTTTAATTGTAAGAATAAATTTAAATTTTTATAGGACAAAAAAATTTTCTTATCTAATAACTACATATAATCCTGAGAGATCCTTACAATTTATGGAGATCTTTAGTTGTGGATAAATTGTTAAAATAAATAAAACCAATAAAATTATAATGGTAAATTGAAGATACTTGATAACTTTTTCTATATTCATTACTTCCTTTAATGTTCTTTAAATTCTTTAATTTTTACACTTCCTTCTGACTTTTTAGGATTCAACCCGCTATTAAATACTTTATCAAACTTAAGATTAATATGGACCCAAAGTTTTTTGAGTTTGCTAAATATTTATCTTGTGAGTTTCAGTAACAGTGAAATATTTGGAGAATTTAAATCTTAGCCACTTTAAAAAAGCTCCAAAGAACTCTTTATCTTTTCCTTTGTGACTCTTAGAATTTTTCATAATAATGTCAAATCAAAATAGGGTTTTTTTTTAGTCTTTTGAACTTCTTTAATTGAAATTGTGTATAGGGTGTTTGTAATAATAACAATAAAAATAATAATAGTGGTGAATGAGAATTTTGATTGATAGATACACACTGTGCCAACAATCCATCTTAGGCATATGAAAGGCCCTTTTTCTCTTTGTTTTAAAGAACTTTTATACAATGATAATTTTTATAAATCATATAAATATGTAGATGTAAAAAAAAATTTTCTTTAAATCTTTTAATTTTGATATAAAACCAATAAAAATCATTAATTTAAATAATGAATCAGAAGAATAGATAACTCTTTGAGCTTCTTTCTCATCAAGGATTCAAATCTTTAAACTTATTTGTGAATTGCTACAGGTTACAATTACAAGACTGCTTGATTTAGAAATATATTTCTAGAATGTCAGCAATCATAGAAATCTCCTCTTCCATAATCACCCTCCTGTTAAATTCTCAGTAAATTAATCCACTTTATTCAAACAGTTATAAAAGGATAATCCAAGATAAAATATACCAGTTTCAACATCCTGGAAAATATAGTATTATGTGACTTTTGAGACATATTCAATACCCCTCTCCACTTCAAAAATAATTTGTTTTTACAAAAATTAAATTATAAAATAAATAATAAATTTATTTTTAGAACATTATCTGACTGCATTGTTCCTTTAATACTTTAATACAAAAATTGTCGCAAAGAGTACCCTAATATTACTCGATTTGATGTAGATTGGTAACAACGTTATCCTTGTAAGATATTTCCTAGAGTTTAATCAGAGGAAGCAAGAATTTTTCCACATGATAAATTCATTGTATGATTGATTACCTCACCAAATCAAATACATGCATAAATCTTAGAAAGCTGTTGATGATGAAGAAGGAGCAAAATCCAGTTTATCTGAGGCTTATTCAGATTTATTGGAATCTTAATTTAAACGAGCTTTTCATCTGTGAGAATTCCTTAATTATAATTATGTTAATAATATAAATTGAACCAATCGACAATAAAATCTATTTTGTTGATGGAGATATCGGGGAACTTTTCGACCAAGATTATTTTTTTATTTTCCCATCTCATCCTTAAAAAAAAAAAGCGTAAAAAAAAGAAAGAAAGCACATCAGGATGAAGCAGAAATTATTCCTAGAATAAAAGTAATCCGAATGATGGCGTAACATTCAAGTATTGGCCTTTCAGAAGTACCTCAGTCATAATTTAATTAAAAAGTTTGAATTTGGGTGACAAATAAAAGAAAAATAAAATAAAATTGATTTCCTTCATCATTGTTTAAAAAAAACTTTTCATTTTAAACTCCAAAATTTACCATTATACAACACTTAATATTTATATTTAGTAAATAGATGTAGAATCCTTAGAGCAAAAATTGTTAAAATATTAAGATAAATTTAAAAAAATGTCAAATCCTTTTTTAAAATAAAACAAAATTAAAAATCAGAAAACTATAAATTTCACTCAACAAAATAAGTCACAATTTGGCTTACCTAATAAGTCACACCTTAAGTTAAAGTAGTTCCATCCTCAAAGAACATACTAATTAAACCCAATTATCATAATCATCTAATTTGGCTTGTCATAATATATAAACAGATTTTCAATATTAACTAATATAATAAAAAAACATATTTTTAACAATTTTTTTTTAATATATTGTTGTCTCTTCATCCTTTCCTAAATTCTGCAAAAAAGATCCTCAAAGTGTGCCTTTAAAGGCTTGATTCTTGTGAGTATTACTTTCCCTTTAGAGAATCCAAACTTTTCATATAAGCCTTCGAAAAAACCCTAGTTGCTTTGTACCTTTTCCCCATCTAACTTAATCCCATATCCATTAGCAGTCTCTAAGTCCCTAAAATGGTTCCACACATTTTGTGAGTAACCAATCTCTGTTTTTTCTGGTTCGTCTATATTATAAAAGTTTGCTAAGAGTAAAAATCTCCTTCCCTTAGGCTAATTAAAGCTATTCTGAGCACGTGTTGTACTTCTCCTTATCTGTCAAATTTCCACCTTTTTTTTTATCCGAAATTCATATGGGGCATCAAAAATTATCAAATCGAAGTTGAAAAGTTGGCAAAAAAAAAACTGCTTTTTTTTATATAAAAAAAATCTTAAAATCTATTTAAATTACTTGTCAAAAAATCTAGTCAATAAAAACATCAATTGTTCTTATTTTACGTTATTTAAATTAATTCTAAAGGATTCTTCTATATCAAGGATGTATGTAATGAATTTGCATATGATAAAGCTTCCTCAAATCTATTTAAAGTATCTAATGAATATGCTATATTTATTATTTCCTTTTCTTATGCTTTCCATGTACAATTTATAAACTTCAGGATTTTTTAAATTGCTGAATCATTATATTATTTTAGGAGAGATAGCAGGATAATAAAAAGTTAAATTAGATGAACAAATTTCATTTTTGGTTTTTAAGACTGTCAATTGATTTTAGATTAAAGAAAAATTTTAATCACATATTTAAAAAATTATTTATTAATAAACTACCTTTTAATAAATAGCTAGAAGGTTTAAAATATGTTCTTTTTATTTTGAGAGGTCGTCCCTCTATTTTGACCCTCATGCCT